TTGTTTGGCAGGCCCTGGCTGGGTTTGAACCCACCAGCTCCTGTGTATGTGGCTAACACCCTAGCCGCTGAGCTACAGGCACTGAGCCTTCCCTCTCTATTCTGATTAGTATGTGTTATTAACAACATAAGCTAGTGTTGATAATGGCACCTAGTTCATTGCGAAAATCTTATCTGTAGATGCTTCTACTTTTTGGTTAAAGCTGGTGGGCAAAAGCTCTAAGGTCTCTTTCAGGTCAGTTCTAGAATAGGAAAAAATTAGTGGTTAGAGAAGAAGAACAAAAATGAAAAATGAGATTGAGAAATAATCCATGTGTGTCTTGAGATATTGGTCCCTAGCCCGTCTATTTTAATTGGCCCTATTTGGGGACTCCGAGAGCTGGTAGAGAGCATCTGTTTTTCTGCAAACTACTTAAGGTTTATACTCAAAATGATGTCTTTCTTTATTCACAGGCACATGGGGAAACCATTCATTTTCCTAAAAGCACCACTTTCACCCTATTCACTTCTTCAGAAAAGCCTTCAGTGATTATCCGTGAAGGAAATGGATGGTAGATTGCGATTAGACCCTACCCAATCTCCCTACCTCCCACTCACCTCCCACTCACCCCCCTTAGGCCCTCCTGATTTATCCTCTTTGTCTTCCATGAAGCTAGAGACACCAGCTAGATTAGTTTCTTTCAGGTTACCCAAGTAACTGTCCTTTCTTTATAAAGGTTTTTGCTTCTTCCTTTCTTTCTTACTGAAATGAGTTTCTGTGCCCTCTCCCTACTTCTCATGGTAATCTCCAGCCTATTGAGCCTTTGGGTCTAGCTTAAATCTCTTCCTTTCTTTTGTGCCTGCAGGTGATCTCCCCTGTGTGCCACAGAGCCTTTCTCCAGGACATCTGTCAGGGAGCCATCTTCATTACCACCCAATCCTAGAGATGGGGTTGGCATTTTGGAAGACGGGAGCCTATCCTGTGTGGCATCCTTCTGTTTCTCTATGAATGCAAGGAAAGCAGGTCCCCTTATAAGCTTCAAAGTACTGTCTTATTAGGGCTATGACCAGAAGGTCAAGCAGGATCCTAGAATCATGTGGCTGTGGCCATCAAGACAGGCCCACCTAGTTCTTCTGTAAGGGAGTGACTGTGTTTGTTTTCTTTGTTGGGCTAACTCAGTCAAAATGAAGGTAGCGCCACCTGAGAACTTTAACTAGAGAAAACCCTGGTTTGAACACCTTTCTCATTGGCCCTTGTAATAAGGTAAAGAGGGAAGGGACTCAGATGATAACATGGCAACAGGTGCCATGCCAAGCACCAGAAGTGGATTATCTCAATGCATACTTGTAAAGGTCTGATGACATTAATACTGTCATAATCTCGATTCATAGCTGAAAACGAGCTCAAAGAGAGTAAATAACTTTGTTATTTATGTAACATTGTTTATGTAAGTCCTAAGGTTGGAACCCAGTTATATCTGAGTCCAAAGCCTGTTTTTTCTTTCTTTCTTTTTAAATTTAGTCTATACCAGTGGTTCCCTAAGTATGGCCTCCAGAGGGGTAGCATTAGCATCTCCTGGAAATTTGTTAGAAGGTTAAGTCCTTGGGCCTTACCCAAGTCCTACTGAATCAGAAACTACTGGCATACAGCCCAGTGATCTGATCTGTCTTAAGTCCTCCTGGTCAAGTGCACTTAAGTGTGAGGACTGCTGCTGCAGACTAAACCTCCCACAAGAGCCTAGGAACCATACTAATGCAGGAATGTTCCAAGATGCCAGTTGGGTATGAACCCCTGATCATGCCAAAGTCCCACCTGCTATTTCTGTGTCATCTGATCCCTCATCAAGGCACACCTGGAGCTTTCAGTATGTCTGTGGGTTTAGAAAGTAGTGAGAAAATTTTTAAAAAGAAAAAAAAAAAAACCGTCTTAATTCCTTCAAGTCTTTCTAGGTACAGTCTGTCATATTTTGATCATTTTTTTTGTATGCTTTATGCTTCTGCCTGAACTGCCAGATTTCCAGTGGTTAATGTATTCTTGGTTATTTATTCCATCATTCAACAAACATTTGTTGGGTACTAAATAGGTGACAACACAGTATGAGGTGCTTGTGTTTGAAGCAGCAAGTTAGAAGCAAATGCAGTCAACCTTCTCAGAGCCCACAGTAAGCAGGCCACAGCAAGAAGTGTGACAAGTGCGGTGTCTACTTTGGGAAAACAAGAGAGAGGCCCATCTCTCAGACTTGTGGTCGGGAATAGTGTTCCAGGAGGTGAAGGTTCAGCTGATGACCTACAGAATGAGGACCAGTTCAGAGTGACTGAAGACTCAAGTGAGAAGTGAGGCATGAAGAGAGAGGAGCTAGCAGAGAAAGGCAGGAGGTAGACCCACTGGCCTCATAGGGTGGGACAAATGGGAAGCTATTTCAAGAAGAGATGTGATGTGGAAAAAAATGTATTAGCACTATCACTCCAGTACAAATATGGCCTTATTTTGATACAGTTTTTTGGGTGTTGTCATTGAATGTGTTATTACTGTTAATGGACTGTGAGTTCTTGGAAGTTATCCTTATAACTTTTTCCCAATACCTCCCCAGGCCAGTCCATTTTTCACTCCACCCTGCCCCACCCCACCCTGCGCCCAGGCCCAGTAAGGACCTGGCTCTGTCAGTGAGCTCCCAGCCAGCCGCAGGCAGGCCGCCCAGTGGTGTGTTTTGCTCATTTGCATTGCTTTTATTATCCCTGAACAGAAGTAGGTCACCTTCAGCATTGTCTCCTGCTCTTGCCTTTAGGGTGCCTGTCCTTGCTGGTGACAGTCCAGCACACAGAGCGCTATGTCACCCTATTTGCCTCTGTCGTCCTCAAATGTGACTACACCACCTCTGCCCAGCTCCAGGATGTGGTGGTGACCTGGCGCTTCAAGTCCTTCTGCAAAGACCCTATCTTTGACTACTACTCTGCGTGTGAGTGCCCTCCCTTTTCCTGCTCTCTCTGGGTCCCAGGACCTCTGGGATATAGTGCTGTTAGGGCTTAGGAATTATTTAGGATCACAACTCCTTACAGTGAGGAGAAGCCGCAGCGAACACCTAATTCAATCCCCTCATTTTATAGACAAGCTGAGACCAGGCCGATGAAATAACTTACTCAAGGTTACATACTAGTTTATTTTAATGTTTTTTTGTCCCACAGTGTCCTAAAAAGATTGAGGGCAACTCAGACACAAAGTCGAAGGCAGAGCAAGTCTTGCCTCCTACTGTGTTCCTGGTTCTGGGTCCGCACATGGAGCTGGGGAGGCATACGTGCCCTACCTCTGATCAACCCACTCCCTGAGCAGCAGATGGGGAGGACTCCCACAGGACTGCATTCCCTTCTACAGACTGCCCTCCTGGAGGAGGTCATTCCTCTGCTGATTGAGAACTTTCAGTACCACTGAGGCAGCCTGTTTGTTGAGGGATGTCTCTTAGCACTGTACAACTCCCCCTGAGGTCTAGCCAGTCCTGTGTCTCAGTAACAACTTCCCATTCCTGGCATGTCTGTGTTTCGACCAGAGCTCTTCACCAGGTGCCCATTTGTACCCTCTTTCCATGAGCAAGAGAATCCAGAATCTCACTCCCAGCCTAGAATAATTAACCTTTTAGAAATTTTGAGAATAGAAGCAGACACCCTACTCATAAGAAGTGAGCTTTCTGAGACAAGGCTAAAAGAGAGGTCATCAGCTTGACTTCTTTTAGTCCTGGGGCAATGTCTCCCAGTCTGATTTGAGTCAAACCACAAAAGCTAACTGGTGAGCCCCCCCACTAAACCTGATAATGTCCCCGAAAGACTTCTTTCTAAATTGAAATATATGGTTTTCTGGGGGTTGTTCTTAAAATGCCTAGGTTAAGTGGGAAGAGCAGAGAGCTTTTGCCATATGAGCAGATTTAGCAGCCCTCAAACCTTCTGCTGTAAGAGCAGGTGGATGAACTCCATGGAGTAGAGAGGCTGGGGTGACTTTGACAGTGAGACAAGAGAAGGTGGGATAAGAGACAGAGAGATACAGCTGGGATTTGAAAATAACGGCCTTTGAGAGGTCTGAAGTCTTACAGTTTAAAGTGTGGTTCCCGTCATCACTTGAGAGCTTATTAGAACTCAGAATGTCAGATCCGGCTCCAGACCTGCAGAATCAGCAGCTTCATGTTTAACAGGATTCCCAGGGGATGCATAGGCTCAGGTGAAATTAATTCACTTCACTATGTCTCACATGATGAGCAGGAGGGCATCTTCATGGAGATCCCCTGTAGGCATGTGACTCAGGTGTGTCTTCTCCTCAGCATACCAGGCAGCTTTATCCCTGGGCCAGGACCCATCCAATGACTGCAATGACAACCAGCGGGAAGTTCGCATCGTGGCCCAGCGGCGGGGACAGAATGAGCCAGTGCTGGGGGTGGATTATCGGCAGCGCAAAATCACCATCCAGAACCGTGAGTGTGGGCGAGGTGACCGGGGAACCATGGGTGGAGGGAAGTGCAGACACCAGGTCTGGCAGGCTGAGTCAGCATGGGATTTCCCTTTTTTTCTTTTTTTCTGCTGCCTTTTGGTGTGTTTGGTCACTGTCATTGTTTGGGGAAAGTACAATATACATAGAATTTGCTGCAACATCTGAAGTTACTTCCCTGGAAGTTGGTCTCTGGACCAAAGATGTGCTATAGCTTTGGCTAAAGGTCTGGGAGTAGATGACTTCCTTTGCTTTCATGAGATAGAGGGTTAAAGTATGGATCAGGTTCCTTTGACGCTTTCCAAAAATTGCTCTCAAGGCCAACTCAAACCCCAGGTTTCTGAGCTAGCCTCTGTCCACTCTTGTTGCCCATATGGAAGGAAATAGGACTTCTGAGTAGATGGCCACCTTGAGACCACTGCCCTTCGTTGGTAGAGAGAGCATTGGGCTTGCATTAAAAAGTCCCAGGTGAGAGTCTCCGTGCTCCCTCTCACTAGCCCAGTGCAGTTGTTTTCTCTGGCTTCTGTGTCTTCATCTTAAAAATGGGCACAATGGTATTCCCTACCCCAAAGTGAATAGCAGTGCAGTATCTGAGAGTTGAGTCTATAATCTGTCTATTTGTTCTTGGTGCAGGAAGGAGTGGTTAGAGCCCTGGCTCTGGAGTCAGACTCAGGTGTGCATCCCCATTCTGCATTAGAGGGTGTGTGAACTTGGACAAACCCTTTCACATTTTTTAGACTCAGTTTTTATAAAATGGAATGTGCCATAGTACTTGTGTTGTGGAGATGTGTAGGGACTGCGGTAATGTATATATAGCACATACTAATGTGCAGTAAGCATGACTTAGCACTCCCTACACTTTTGGATAAATGGGTTAGCTCTCCACATTCCTATTTTGTAATCCAGGGTTCCTGCAAGAGATTATCAGCACAGAATTTGTAGCCTATTTCAATGAACCTTATGTGCTGTGTTAAATAAATATTTGCTGGCTAAAAGGGGGAAAAGAGAAGAATATACCTAGCAGGCTATTCATGGTACCCATAACTACAATTTGAGGAAATCTCTGAATATTCTGTGATTTAAGGTAGATCATTTAAAGAGAACCAGTTTAATAATTGCTTCCAGGGAGGCGCCTGTAGCTCAATTGGCAGGGCACTGGCCACATACACCTAGAGTGGCAGGTTCAAACCAGGCCCAGACCTGCTAAGCAACAATGACAACTGCAACTGAAAAATAGTCCAGTGTTGTGGTGGGCTCCTGTAGTCCCAGCTACTTGGGAGGCTGAGGCAAGAGAATCACTTAAGCCTAAGAGTTTGAGGTTTCTGTGAGCTGTGCTACCCTAGCACTCTACCCAGGGTGACAGATTAAGACTGTCTCAAAAAAATTGCTTCCAACTTTGTAATACTTAAGTCTGATCCTTTTACATTCAACCTCTGGTTTCTCCAGGCTAGTTCTTGAACCCTCAACCTTAGAGAACATCTGTCCTTCTTTTCTAGTCCCCAGGGACATCTTCAAAAATTCAAGGTGGTTCTACTTTTTCCAAAGCCTGCAGCATTAGTTCTGATCTGACTCCAAAGTTTAAGACTCTTTAAATAGCATATCATCTTTACAGTTTCTGAAGGCTGGAAGTCCCTATAGGTGCTAGTCCCAGTTCTGTTTTTTTCTGAAAACACAAAGGTATATACCTCTGTGACCTCCACTTCCAACAATTTTTAGGTCAAACCTTGCCTCTTTCTTACTCCCACAGGAAAGCATACCACTGTTTTTTATTTCCACCTCCAGACTTGCTATGACTTCCTGGAGCCCTTGTTTTCCAGAACTTTTATGCCTATGATCATTTGAGACAACCCTGTCAAATCAGTTCTGGGATCCTTTAAAATGTTATCATATCTAAATACCATCATGACTCTGACATTCCTAAAATACCCTTTGTCTCTCCTTTATTGGAGCCAATTTATAATACACATCAAGCCTTGGGGGAGGGGATTTTTTCAAAGCACTTTCACCATTTCCTCAAGTCTGGAGTAAGCTTGTTTCTTGGAAAGGTAGTGGTTTAGAAAATAATGGGTAGGAAAAAATTGTAAGGATTGACGTAGAAAGAAAAGGAAACAGAAGTCAAAGTTAGGTCCAGCGTTGCGTGACCTCGTGTTTTTGTTTCATTTCCTCAATAAATATTTCTTGATGAACAAATAGTAAAGAATTACAGATATGACCACCATCTAAGCAGGAGCAAGTCAATAAAGCTAATGCCGCCTTCCTGCTGTGGGTAAGAGCAGGAACTGCTGATGTGCTGAGACATGGAGGCTGCCTCGGACTGGATTTTAAACTTTCAGGACAAAAAAGAGTCCTGTTCCTTTCAGATCTCCCACAGTGCCTGATGTAGTGCTGGATGCACAAAAGGTCTTTAGGGAGTATTTGTTGACTTTGCTAAACTTGAACAAACATGTTAACCATTCATCTGTCTTAATGGGATAGCATGGTACTCAGTGCTCACAAGAACATAATCTTTTCTTAAGTTACACACACTCTTAACGTATTGGCATTTCACTCTTACTTGTCCCTTCCAGTTCCAGAGGATTTGCTCATTTTAGACTGTTAAGGGCTATAGACTATAGAGTTTTCCACCCAAGTGGAGAAGATAGCAGAGCTTGGTGGTTAAGAGCACCAGCTTTGAGTCAGAGAGATGTGGGTTTGAGCCTCCCTCTGCTGAGCACTATGTTACTAGGCCAGTTCCTTTAGCCTCTTTAAGGCTTGATTTTCCTCATCAGAAATGCAGGCAAATAATAATACCTACTGTTTTAGTTAGGTTTGATTGCAAGTAAGGAAAAGCTCCAAATATTAGAGAGTTAAACATAAGGAAGTTTATTTCTCTCTCGCATATAAAATCAGAGGTAGCGTGACGGTTGTGTTCCATTAGGTCTTTACTAAGAATGCCATCTTCTTCCTTGTGGTTCATGATGACAGCTGTCACCTTTGCTTCCCAGGTAACACAATAGAAGAGACAAAGAAGAAAAGGGCCCATGTGTTCATGACCTGTTTTAAGAAAGTTCGCAGGAACCATTATGTGATACTACTGCTTACATTCTCCTGGCCAGAACTGAGCCACTTGTCTATCTCCATTTGTAAGAGAGGATGGGAAATCGCTTTTATTATAGATGGTCCATTTTTCACTGTTACCATAGAATATCTGAGACTGAGTAATTTATAAATGAATAAAGATTTATTAGTTCAGAGTTCTAGAGGTTGAAGAGTTCAGTATCCAGGTGCTGGCATCTGGTGAGCCTTTTCTTGCTGTGGCATTATGTGGCAGAAGGTGAGAAGTCAAGGGGGCCAAAATTCACCCCCTTATAATAGCTCCAATCCCACCCACAAGGATGAAGCTCTCTTGGCCCAATCACCTTTTAAAGGCTCCAGCTCTTAGTACTGTTATGATGGCAATGAAATTTCAGCATGAGTTTTGGAGGGGACAATCATTCAAATTGTAGTAGCCATCTACATGGTCAAAAATGATATATGACCCTGGGAGAAGACAAGAATGGGCAATGACAGACCCTGGTAATTATACCATACCTGTCTATAGGGTAGGGGTGGGAATTAAGTGATGCAGCATATCCAAAATCCCTGGTGGGGGTCACAATTAGTTAGTTCTATCATCATTATACTTTTTGGAGAAGGAGGAAGATCTCAGAGGAAGGAATTGAGAGCTTTCAGTGAACTACCAGGGTTCTTTATAGGATATGGCAAGATATTATTGGGATCTTGAAGCTGACGTAGGTTAAGAACCAGCGTGGTGGCTCATACCTATAATCCTAGCATTCTGGGAGGCCAAGACAGGTGGATGCTTGAGTTCAGGAGTTGGAGACCAGCCTAAGCAAGAGCAAAACCCCATCTCTAAAAGTAGCCTGGCGTTGTGGTGGGCACCTATAGTCCCAGCTATGGGAGAGGCTTAGGCACAAGGATTGCTTGAGCCCAAGTGTTTGAGGTTGTTATGAGCTATGACATCATGGCACTCTGCCGAGGGCAACAAACTAAACCCTGTCTCTCAAAAAAGAAAAAAGAACCAGTGCCTTCTCCTCTGACAACTAGTGCTTTCTCCCTCCCTCCTATATAGGGGCAGATCTTGTGATTAATGAAGTGATGTGGTGGGACCATGGAGTGTATTATTGCACCATTGAAGCTCCAGGGGACACCTCAGGAGACCCAGATAAGGAGGTGAAACTCATTGTCCTACGTAAGTGCTGCTGGGGCTTTCTATTCAGCCACCTTACCACTGTAACACTTTTATGGACAGAAAAACAAAAACATGACAAAAACAGAAATAATCAGTCCTAGGTTATTATCATTGAATTGTCAACCTCTGAAGTTCCCTTATTAAAGCTAAGCTTTTTTTCCCTAGTGTATTGTTCAACCTTCCCTGTAAGTCAAGTGCTGTATTTATTACATGTCTAGAGTAGAAGAACTGGAAGTGTTCTGCCTGAATGTTTGGTCCAACCCCTGCTTGGCTTCCCCCCTGCAGACTGGCTCACAGTGATCTTCATCATTCTGGGAGCCCTCCTCCTCCTCCTGCTGATTGGTGTGTGCTGGTGTCAGTGCTGCCCTCAGTATTGCTGCTGCCACCTCCGTTGCCCCTGCTGTCCTACCCGCTGCTGCTGCCCTAAGGAAGGTGAGTGGACATAGGCAAGTGGTGGGATGCAGTGGACTAGCACCTGAGACCCCAGACTCATACTTGATGTTCCCAGACCAAAGATGCTTATAGGTCCCCTTCCAGGCCCTTCTCTCATCACAGGTTCAGAGGGCATTCACTTTACCACTGAGGATGATGCTCGGGGAGGCTGTAGAGCCACATGGAAGGTGCTCTCCTCTTAGGCTGCCTAAAGCCTCTGTCTGATAGCACTGCCTCCTGATGGTATTTCCTCAGTGGACCTGATATCCCTGTGCATCAGTCTGTGTCCTACCCCTGACCTTGTCTGGACATAGGGTGGTCAGAGAGAATTGTTTAAATGAAGCAGTGAGAGAGAAGGCCACTCGTAAAGGGAAAAAAAATTTTTCCTATTCTCACACACCACTCAACATTTCTGACACCAGACATGTGGGGCTTTTCCCCCACACACCAAGAAAAGCAAACACCAATTGAGTGTCCTATAATTTAACTCAATTCTGACACTACCTACCTGGAGGTGTCATTAGATCTCACAGGTTGAGGGCCCAGTCCCTCAAGACTCTCCTCCACTTCAGATGCCAACCACAGTTGCAGGTAGTGGGTTGTCACTTACACTTCTGACCAACTGGTTATAAATTGAGGGTTCTCATGACCCTCTTGTCAGGTTCAATTAATTTGTTAAAGTGGCTCTCACAGAATTCAGAGAAACAGCCATTTATTACAAAAGGATATTTTAAAGCATACAAATGGACAGATGAAGGGATATATGGGGCAAGGTATATGGAAAGGTGTGAGGAGCTTCTTGCCTTCTCTAAGTGGCCCACCCTCCCAGCATGTCCATGTATTCAACCAGGAAGCTCCTTGAACTTGAACCTGATCCTTTTGAGTTTTTTTTTTTTTTTTTTTGCAGTTTTTGGCCGGGGCTGGGTTTGAACCCACCACCTCCAGCATATGGGACTGGTACCTTACTCCTGTGAGCCACAGGCGCCACACCCCCTTTTGAGTTTTTATGGAGGCTTTATTACATAGGAATGATAGACTAAATCATTGGCCATTGGTGATCAACTCAACCTTTACCCCCTCTCTCCTTCCTGGTTTTCAGGAAGGTGGGGATTAAAGTCCCAACCCTTTAATCATGTCTTTGTCTTTTTGACAACTAGCTCCATCCTGAAGCTCCCTGGGGGCCCACAGCTACTAGTCATCTCATTATCATACAAAAGATATTCATCATTCTAGAGATTCCAAGGAATAGGAACTGTATAACAGAAACCAGGGGCAGATACTGTTATCCAAAAGAGTACCATTATGGCTAAATAGTAAAAAGGAGAGTTGTATTGGTGATATCAGTTTATAAACTGGGAAGAGAAAGTCTCCAGCATGGACCAAAGGTGCTCTCTCTTCAAAGAGAGAAAGAGCAAGTTGGGTTTTATACCTCAGAGAGTCTGCATGACACAGTAGAGTAATACATATTCAGCAGATTGGGGGCAGGGGAGCTGTACGTATTTATGAGGAGAGCTCAGAGCATGTGCAATAGGTAAACATATATGTAACATAACATCCCGTCACTTTGTGGGTAGGGTTTGAGCATTAGAATAAGGTAGAATTTGGCTCTTTACATCAAAAGGTAAACTATAGGATGTGAAGAGAGTTTATGCACAGTCTCCATAAGATGGATGAAACTGGCTTAAGATCCATAATTGCTCATCAGAAAAGGTAAGGTTGGTCTTCTGTGCATCCTGAGTTATAGTGGTCTAGGTTATAAATCAGAGTTTGAAAGGGTCCAGTAATTTTCCTGATAGCTCCTACTATTATGGAGTTTAGCAAGAGTATAGTTTTGCTTGTAGCACTTAGAAATTTGCCATGCCACCTGGGCCCTAAGCCTTTGATTTGTGGGTAACTTTTGTTTCCTTAACCTTAGGGTCTGTCTTAGTCAATAAAAGAGCATCTTATTTTGTCTCTTAGGTCACAAGGTCAAATATATACTTCTTATTTTAATACAAGGATGCACCACTCCTTAGAAATGACTTAAAAAAAAACAAAGCAGAAGAGAAAGATATTAAAGTGATGGTTCTCAAACTGAAACTCACATTAGAATTACATGGAGGTCTTGTTCAAACTTAATTGCTGATGTCCACCTCTGGGGTTTCTGACTCTATTAGTCTGGTGTGGGGCCTCTGAATTTGTTGCTCAAAAGTTCCCAGGTGATGTAATGCTGTTGGTCAGGGCATCACACTCTGAGACCCTGTGAGTTTGGAGAAGGGAAGAGGAAGCAGAACATCTTGCCTTTAATATGATCATTTTTTGGACTAAAATTTGATCCTTTAAAACAGAGTTATGCCTCACCAAAATCTGGCTACAGAATACATGATATAGGCAAAAGAGGAAAAAATTATTCTATAAAGATCTTTTCTTTATCCCACCTTTAGTAAATAGATGGGATAGCATCAACTGCTTTAAATGGAAGTGTATTTCTTTAGTTTTTGTTTTAAATAAAACATTTTTTTCTGGTGATACAAAATAAAGTACTATGTGAAATTCAAGAAAATATAAAGACTAATTTGAGTACCCAGAGAAAACCACTGTCATCATTTGGTCCATTTGAAAAATAATTTTTTAAGAAAAAATAAGGAATTTACCCATTAATATAGAAACAAAAATTAATCTACCATGTTAAGAAGGTCAGTGGTCTGAGTCTGGTTTCAGACTTGTGCTCCAATGTGGCTCTCTTATGGGAAAAGAGAACTAACTTTTATTGGATGTTAACTGTGTGTAGGCCCTTTGCATATATTTCCTCAATGAATCCTCACAACTCTAGAAAGCAGATCATCCCTATTTAACAGACAGGACACTAAAGGTCAGAGAAGTCCCCTGGGTAGTAAGTAGCAGTGGTAGTGTAGAATCAATGTTCATCTGACTTATGAATGTCCCATTATAGGGACTGCCACAGCCTCTGCAGACAGATCATTACGGGATTGGCCAAGTATCATGAACTCCTTAAAGAGGGCAAAACTAGCAGAGGATGCAATATTGGGCCATGGGGCTGTCTACCTTTCAGGAACCTCAGGGAGAAAAGCTGTGGAGAAGCCACAAGCACTGGTGATAAGAAAAATCCTCCCAAGATGACTTCTTAGAATCCCTAGGTCTGTGGGACACTAAAAATAAGCAAGGCTTGGGACAAGGCTAGTACAAATGATAAATGCATTCCTTGTCAGTAAACTAATAAACAGAAATTCTGGGGGAGAGTACTTTCTCCTGAGAAGAGTTCGTTTAAAAGAACTGGTTAAATAAAGAAATGAGTGCCATAAATAAAAATCCCTGAACTTGAGCAGATGAAGGTTACTTTCAAAGTGAGTCACTAGAGCAAACTGTCCTGAGAAATTTGTTGACAGGAGAATTGTATGGAGGGTCATGAATTGTTAAGGAGAGCTCTTTGCTTAGGGGAAGGGAGAGTGATTGTTGGGTTTTGTGGAACAAGGTAACCCTAAGCAAATTTATAAATGAAGAACCAAGATTAATGGCCAGTGACTAAAGTGAAGCATTATGGAATGAGGTGATCACTGATGACGGATGAGACTGAGAGTGATGTCAGGCCTACAAGTGACAGAACTAGCCTTAGAAAGGGAAGGGAAGGGCAGGGAAAGGGAAGGGGGGCAGCCTGACCTCTGAAGACACAGAGGAAGTAATTAAAATGTGGAAGATGATTAAGGTATAAGGGAGGAAGATGGGAGAGCTCACAGCTTGCTGACTCAAATTCAGCAAATCAAAATTCTAGATGCAGAAGGAACCTTCAAGGAAGATGTCAGTGATTCTTGAACTTCTTTGGCCATAGCCCACCTCCCCAACATCCTACTCTCCACGGAGAGTTAAGAGGCTTAGGGAGGAGAGAAATGAAAATGACACCACATTTTAGTAACCCTTGATGATTCACTTCGTACTGGTAAATGACCCTCCATAGGACTTACAGAGGAAAGGTTTTGAATCGAATCTTACTTTTTTCCATGAGAACTGAAGAAACACCTTTCATCCCTCCTTCCCAGAGAACCTCTAGGCACACCCTGTAGTGGGCACAGGGCACAATGAGGTTCTCTGACTTATCCTGCCTCATCCCCACTCCCCCACCCTCACCCCTACAGCTGAAGGAAGTGAGGCCTGGAGAGACTTTTACACAATTACACATAGCCTGTTAGTGGTGAGCCCTGTACTAAACCTAGATTTCTTAACTCCATGTTAGGGCTGGTTCCTCTTCCTTGACAAAGATAATGCCATGTAAATTCATGGGTAGGGGAAGATCTGAGAAGTGGGGAATATTTAACCTGCTGCTATAAAGGAGGGAATGCATGTTCAATAGATCAATCAAGGATAGCCCTGTTGGGAGGAGGGCTGTTTGAAGTCAGTTGCCTGACTGAAGACCAGAAGCATCTGCTGGTAGTTTCCCAAAGCTGAAATTACAAGAGTTCAAAGGGGAATGGGATTCTAGGAAGCTCCTGAGGATGTCACTAAAATGATTGGCCATTCAACTGGCAGGGGGAATGGTAGTTTTGGAAAAAGCAAAAAGACAAGGCGAGGCATGGGGGCTCATGCCTGTAATCCCAACATTGTGGGAGGCCAAAGTGGGTGGATTGCTTGAGCTCAAGAGAAGATCCTCTCTGTACTAAAAATAGAAAAACTAGCCCAGAGTTGTGGTGGGCACCTGTAGTTCAGCTACTCAGGAGGCTGAGGCAAAAGGATCTCTTGAGCCCAGGAGTTTGAGGTTGCTGTGAGCTATGATTCTATGATACTCTAGCCTGGGGCAACAGAGTGAGACTCTGTCTCACAAAAAAAAGCAAGCAAGACAGTGAACATGGATTAAAAAGAGGGCAAGAATGAGTTTTGTAAGAGTAGAGAGGGGATGGTTAAGGAATGGTAACCAGTTTATAGGCAGATGGAGTTGTAGACCCTCAAGGCCACCAGTTCTGTGTGGTGATGCACACAGATGATGCTGGCTGCAGGGCAGGAGAGGTACACATTTCTGCAGGAGGGTAAGGTGTTGAGTATCATTTCTGTCATGAAGGGGATATCTTAAGGCATATGCCCTTCTTCAGAGATGAAGATTAATATACCTTTGGTGGCTTATTCTCCAAATATTTGTTTTGTCACCTTCTATGGAATCTTGGGCAGAGAAAAAGCAATTTAAAACAATTACAGCCACTGCCCATTGACTTTCTGTCATATGTTAGTCATTTCATGTGCCTTACCTTATTTTACCTCATTGAACCTCAACGACCTTATGGAAGAGCTATCATTATCTCCAACTCTCAGATGAGGTAACTGGGCTCAGAGAGTCAGAAAACTCACTCAAAACCACCCAGCTAGTACATCCTGGAATTCAAATTGAGGTCTGTCTGACCTTCAAAGCCCATATTTAAGGAGATTATCCCTGAGGGTCATTTGTTGAGAATCCTCAGTTGTCAACTCCAAGGTGACCCCTGAATTAGAGCAGGGATATTGTTGAAAATACAGATTTTCTTGGCTTGCTTTAGAACAACTGAAGGGAAGTCTCTGGGAATGAAACTTAGAAATCTGTATTTTTAGTAAGCTCATTAAAGGTGAACAAGGTAGACTTTACTCCCCTAAGGTTAAGAGATTAACTTATTGGGACTCTTGAAGCTTCATTGCTTTGTCTGTGTTTCTTATTTTTATTGTCCAATTCCCCATTAGATGAACAACAACTACACCAATGGTCTAGACATCCCTGGGGGCCTATCTCTGGGGATGGGAGACAAGAGAGAAGTTCAAAGTCTATGTCTTCCATCTTGTTTCATCAGTTCTCATGCAACAAGGAAAGAAGGGGCCCTAGAAAAAAATTGTGTCAGCTAGGAAGGGAACAGGTGGTTTAATCTCTGGACTGTGAAAAAATTAAGGGAAATGACAGGAAATCTAATGGAGGATCAATAATTAGGGAATTACCTGTTCTGGGGATCCCATTAATGAAAAACATCATTTGAAAAGCAAGGAGGAAGCATAATTCTTTCTTTCTCCCCTGTTGAATGGAGAGTAGAAAGAAGTGGCCAAACGGGGGAATGATACCACCTGGAAGAAGCCAGGATACAAAAGAGGTTGCAATGGGTAGGGTTATTTCCAGTGGAATTTAATATTCCCAGGCCTTGGAGGGAAAGACTAACCTAGAGTGAATTTTGAACAGTTCAGGTTTCATTTCTTCACAGAAAATAAAGCAGTATAAGGACTCAGTGGTGTGGCAGGAAGAACATAGACTTGGACATCAAACAGACAGGTTCACAGCTGGGGTCTGCCAGCCACTAGCTATGGGACCTTAGGCTGGGAATGTGACCTCTCTGAAGTAAACTTCCTTATCTGATTCCCACATTAAGGGTTTTCTCAGAGGACTGGTTAGCTAATGTAAAGTAACTGGCCTGTACAAAGCAGGACATTCCAGTATGTGTATTGGTGGCAGCCAGCAGAGGAAGCTAGGGAGAGGCATGTTATAAAAAGGGAAAATGTGGATGTGCCTTCAGGGAGTCTGTGAGGCTGTCAGTTGGCATGATTGTGTCTGTGGCAGCTGAGTGAGCTGCTACAAGTTTGCATCTGATTTCCTCCTGGCTGGGCTGTGACTCACCATTAGGGCTGGAGCTCTGGACACTTCTAGGGCCTCTGCTGCAATCACTTCCTCTTATGCTGGAAGTTTGTTTTATACTAGAGCAGCTGGGTAGTCCACCAGATTCCCTTTGCTGTTGGCCTCAGCAAATCTCTCACCTTGTGTAGCTGGGTCTGGCCCCCTCTTGCTATGCCGGGGTGTAGTCTCAGGCAACACCCTTCTCTTTTAGGGTGGCCACAGGGCCTGGGGAACTGAGGAAAAAGTGTGCAAACAGGGGAACAGAGGAGTGCCAGGTTGGGAGCCTGTGGTAGTTTACAGCCTGAGATAGGTACTTCTTGCCCTTAACTGTGAAAGTACATGCTCATACATGCATGGTTAGCTAGAGACCTTGGGAGATAGGTGGCACTCAGCCACAATTGCCTCAAAATAGAAATTCTTGAACAAAAACAACTAAATGCTATTGTTTTAAATTTGCTTTCACTGCGAGTTTTGTGCCTCAGACCAGCCCTACATAAACAACTGGAGTGATATTGCCGTGGCCCCCTTGTGCTGTTATTTTATTCTATTTTCTTTGCCCATAAACGAAATGGTACTTCCCTTCCCTCTTCCTGCCTGCACCCTACCTCTTTGAGATTCCCGGTACTTGGGGAAAATCCCCACACTTAATGAGGAGAGGAATAGGAGTGATCCACTGAATTCACTTGAGCATTTTGCACTCCGTGGCCTTCCCCCTCCCCAACCCCCCATGGACTTTCTCTAGTTTGTATGCCAGCTAGAACCACTCTTCAGTGTAATGACCAAGTAATTCTGCTGTTGGCATCAGCATTATATCCTTCCTTTTTTCTTTTACTCTGTGCAGACAGCCCTGAGTATGCCTGCTGGATGTCCCCAGCCCTGACTCCCAGCCTCCCTACCTCCTCCAAGTACCTTGCATCTGCATCTTCTATTTGTGGCCATTGGTTTCTGGTTTTGTTGACCTGTGGCCTGAGATTTCATGGTCTCTTAATATCCATGCATCTAACCTGTGTACTTTGGGTGATGTTAGAATTGGGCAGGATGATGAAATGGGGTGCAGAAGTTGCAATCTTGCCCATAGAGAATTTATTCCAGCTGCTTGCCAGGGGGACAGCTGATTTGCTACTCCCTTAACCCTTACTCCCATATATGATAGGTAAAAACAGACTTAGAGAAGAGAAGCTGGCCTCTCACAAGAACACAGGTTTAAGAGAAGTGGGGTGCAGGTGTGAGGTTGCCCTGGCTGAGGGTCTGCATTTCTCCTTCTTTCCCTGCAGCCCTGGCCCGCCACCGCTACATGAAGCAGGCTCGGGCCCTAGGTTCTCAGATGATGGAAAAACCCCTGTACTGGGGGGCGGACAGGAGCTCCCAGGTTTCATCTTATGCATTGAACCCGCTGCTGCAGCGAGGTAAACCTTGCCCAAGATTTGGGGCGGGAGAGGGCAGAGGGCAAGGGTAGAAGCATGGGCTGCATTGGGGTCCCCATGATCAATAGGGTATGTGTCTTCATGTTTGAGTATGGGAGGGAGTAAAGGCAAGCTGAATAATGTAATAGTCTAAGGTCCTTATTCTGAGGAGTATGTTTTGGGTCATTATATCTGCATGTTCTGTCCTTGTTTTCATTCAGATTTGTCCCTACGATCCAGTCTCCCACAGATGCCAGTGACTCAGACTACTACTCACCCTCCCATCACCAATGGTGTCCTGGAGTATTTGGAGAAAGAGCTGCGGAACCTCAACCCAGCCCAGCCTCTGCCCCCTGACCTCAAAACCAGATTGGGCCATCCCTGCAGCATGCTGTCCTCCCTGGGCTCTGAGGTTGTGGAACGCAGAATAATCCACCTGCCCCCACTGATCAGAGACCTGCCATTCTCAAGGACGACCAGCAACTCCTCACACCAGCAATGGCTCACCTCAGATCCCTCCAGACCCTGGGATCTGAGGGAGGAGAGAAGGCAGCACCATCACTCTGATTTCCAGCAGGAGTTCCAGGATCGTGGGCCAAAGCCCTGGGCATTGGAGAGAAGAGCGCGGGACCGCCCATGGAGTGGAAGGCACCATAGCTCCAGGCTCAATGGGTCATCCATACCCTGGTCAGACAGGGACAGCCTCAGTGATGGCCCCTCATCCAGTGAGCCTCGCTGGCATCCCAGCCGCCCCCCTCTCAGGAGCCACTATCAGCAGAGGCCCAGTAGGCCGAGCCCCCGGGAGAGCTCCCAAAGGCATGGTAGACGCCGGCCCCGCAGCTACTCCCCTCCCCTGCCCTCAGGCCTCAGTTCTTGGAGCTCAGAGGATGAGAAGGAGAGGCAGCCCCAGAGCTGGAGGACCCATCACCGCCGTTCACACTCCCCGAACTGGCCGGAGGAGAAGCCGCCCAGCTATCGCTCAATGGATGTCATTCCAGGCAAGAATGGCAGGAAAAAAGGGAGTGTGGAGAGGCGCTCGGTGAGCTTGGGGCATCCTGCTGAGGGTTGGGCATGGGCAGAGAGGACCCTCCAGCTAGCCTTGGCCGCAGCTGACACAGACCACCTCACATGCCACTGCTGGGTGTGATTCACCTCTTATTAGAGCTAACTTGGGACCTAGTGAGTACAGGGTGCCCATCAGTGCAGAGTACCCAGGGCCTTCTCATCCTCAGCGTCATTGCGGCTTTTACTGTAGTCCTGTGAGCTGGTCAAGCAGCATCCCCATTTTACAGATGAGGAAATGAGGCTCAGAGTGATTAAGCACCTTGTGAGCAGTGGAGCTAGGATTTGAATGCAGGCCTTCAGGGCTGAGGCTTTACCTCTCTGCACAGCTGCCTTGCTTTATTTAGCAATGTATTTTCATACCCCAAATTAGAACACGTGGCCTGACAGAGAGCATTCATCAAGTCTGCCTGCAAGGCTCTAGTGCAGTGTTTTTCTACCATCTCATGGCATACTTGAATCTGTAGTTAAACTTCCATGGCACACTTCAGTTCTGTTGATCAAAAAAAAGTGAAAAAAAGAATATACCTACTGTGCTTTGAACTTCTTTTGAAAATCATTTAATTAATGATCTTTAAAATTTTTCATGGCACAAGTAAAATCCTCTCACAGCATACCAGTGTACTACAACACACCAGTTGAAAATCACTGCTCTAGTGTTTGTGAGGATGAAGTCCTCTGAGACATCCCTAAAAAGGATCATTTAAACTGACTTTTTATAGAAACAAAACCCCTGTGTTCTAAATATGGGTCAGAATTTTAGGATTCTGTGACTAGACAAAATGTCAGTGGGTGCTGAACATACCTTACCCGGCTAAAAGGTGAACATAGGAGGATGTTGGTCTTTGAAGCTTTTGGATACAGACCTTTTAATTTTTTTTTTTAAAGAAGTGACTTTAAAAAATCATTTATAATTAATACACCAGACTGGTGGTGTTCCTTTAATGTTGGCACTTTGCAAAGGAATGATTCCATTGCTTAAAACCATTAATGAATTGCCCCCGAGCCAACTTAACAAGCTACCCACCAAAATCTTCTATTTGACCAAAATCCTTTTCTCTTTTGCTTCTGTTGAGATAGTCAAAGAGACATACAGTGGCTCTAAGGGAAGTTCTCAGAGTAGAGGTATATTATTCAAAGAAGAATTGTTGTTGCTTGTGGGCTTTGAAGGATATAACTGTCACTTGAAAATATGTGTTCTGCTATGACTTTATAAAAAAAAAATCACACAGTGTGGTATATGCAAAGGAACTGGCCTCTTAGGAGACCCACCGTGCTGCTCTTTCGAAAGCTGAACCTTGATGAGAGAGCAATTGTGAGGATGGTATTAAAGATCAGCAGGTATATCTGAAATAGTCAATGGCAACTATGTCATCTTATTACAGATGTCCCATGAGAGACAAAAATTAGCAATAAAAAAAATAGGTACCCATACTAAATGGGACTGAGTTACAGACATCTTATGCAACATCACATTTAATCTTTCCAACAATCCTGTGAGGTGTGTAGTATTATCCTCATTTGTAGATGATAATAACTGTTTCTTCTGTGACCAGTAAGAAAATTACATCTTGAAAGAAAACATAGTCAAGGGTAGGACAACTGACAACCACAGTTACTTGGTCATATTATGACTAAAATCTCTTCATTTTAATAGGAAAAAAAAAACATATTTGGGGCCAAAAGTCTAAAACCTACTTTCTTCTAAATTAAATTTTTTTTAAAGTTAAATTATGTAGCTTCTTATAAGTGAGAGACGTATAAGAAGAACATTGATTATGTTCCAAATACTAGGGTTAGCCTTTTCCAATCCTTATTTGATCCTTAACCACCATGTGAGGCTCAAAGAGATTAAGTGACATGCCCAAAGCCACCCAGCCAATACGGACTGAACCCAAAGTTTGAATATAGCCCTTCCACTCTCAAGCCTGTGCCTCTTTCAATAACTCATGTTGACTCTTTAAAAGAGTATCATCAGAAGTTAATGATATTTTCTAGTGACTTTCTTCCTCATTTTCTAAGAGTATTACAGCTTCTTTTAGCACCAAGATGGATGCAACAATAACTCTACCTCATGCAAACCAGATTTTCAATTTTGAAGTTGCTCCTGAGAGGCAAAGATTTTGTTCAAGACAATTTTAAAAGCCTCCATTGTTTTGAGTCTCTTTGCATTTATCTCCCAAGGCTTTATCATTTTACTTTATCATGTTCTGCTTTCACTCATATACTTACAATAACCAGAGGCCCAGGACCAAATATTGATTTGGTACATTGGTTAGTTTGGTGGGCAGAGTGTTTTGTTTGATTTGTTTATGACTTTGAATGCTTTATTGAGGCAGAATTTCTCCAGGGCCAAAGTCTGGCTCTTTCCTCTTTCCTTGGTCGGGCTATATGCTTCCCTGACAGGTTACCTTCTAGCCTCTGAGGTCACTGGCATTTACAGATAAGTTCAGTTATCATAATACAGTTGGGCCTCTAGATGGTGATCTTTCTTCATGTACACTTAAAGTTCCTGTTTATTTCTCAAGTTGGTAAGCTATATCACTGTTGTTTTCTTTTTTTCTTAAGCAGCCTTTTAGCCATTATAGCTTAACCATAACTTTTTATAAGGTATTTATTAAAAATGCCTTATATAATAAAATTTAGGAAAATATGAATTAAACAAAAAAAAATTTGTTTTATGTGACATTGTCTGTCTCAAGAATAGTGTGGAACAAATAGACATTAATAAAAGCTTTCATGTAGGTGATCTCACAGGAACCTGAAACAGGTAAGAACTATTTTCTGCATAGTGCCCATGAGAAAATGGAAATTATTTTGAAGGATCTCCCATCTAACTCTAGAACCAAGACTTTAGCTGAGATCTTCTCAAATCAGGTCTGGTGATGTTTTCACTCTACCAGAGCTACAACCTCAGAAATATAAAGAACAGAAACTTCAAACTTTTAACTCTAGTGATTACAGACTAAGTGGCTACTATGTTCCTGCCCTCCTTTGTATCAATCATCTTTCTTTCCAATCTTGCCCTAAGACCTTACCAAGGCATTTCTGGCTTCTTCCAAATTTGCCCTTGTACTCACCTATATCTAATACGAGAAAAAAACTGCTGTGTTCTATTCTCTCCATGCTAAATTCAAACTTTCAACAGAAAATCCTAGCTTATTCTTATTTTCTTGACTTTTTGACTTAATAAAAAACTTTTATATCATGATTTTTAATCTTCTTTCAACAAAGTGTCTACTCTTGGACCATGCTCTTCTTGTTCCATTTCATTGTTTTCCTTTGTGTCAGATACATTCATCCCACAGCATTTTGATTAGAAACCATGATCTCTAAAATGCACTTTCCTGATAAGTTGGAAAGATTTTTTTATAGCAACATGAATGTACATACATATATGATACCTTTTGAACAGTATATTTTAGGACAGTTGCCTTATCTTCCTATATCAAATAAGATGAAGAAGGTCACATTCATGAACTACAAGTATAGATCTTCAAAACTTAAATAAAATAAACAAGATGTATACCAAGGCCCAGGATGAATTTGTGAACTTAATTATCTGACCTGTATGTAGTGTAGGGGATCATTTTATTTACGTTTTGAAGTTCTATCATTATGATGAACATGATGATATTTAGCAGTGAAATATGTGGCACTTTTTCTAGAATTAGTTCATGAACTTAAAAGTTACATCTTTATACAACATCTCTGATGGCCATTACAAGTAAAGAGTTCCAGGCTAGGCATGGCAGCTCATGCCTATAATTCTAGCACTCTGGGAGGTCAAGGCAGGTGGATTGCTTGAGCTTATGATTCAAGACCAGCTTGAGCAAAAGCGAGACCCCATCTCTACTAAAAATAGAAAAACTGAAGTAAGAGGATCGCTTGAGCCCAAGTTGGAGGTTGCTTTGAGCTATGACGCCACAGCACTCTACCCAGAGTGACAGCCTGAGACTCTGTCTCAAAAAAAAAAAAAGTTTCAAAATTGCTTTGAAGGATTAGGCACTGACATCTGTGCATAGCTTCCCAAGGGAAGTACCTTGATGGTGACCATAGTGATCTTATTCAGCAATGAGGCATGTACCAGTTTTTCTAGGATAAGTTTTCAAACTTAATTATCCAACCTTGTAGTTAGAGAAATAAGAGAACTATAAACCATAGTTCTTACCCTCATCAAGCAAGTGGAAAAAGCCCAAAGACCAAGCAGAATTACTTCTAATGAAAAACCACTGAGTTTAGCCAGGAAGAGATAATGGACTGATCTTTGAAAAATAACTTCTGAGAAACACTAAGATACAAAGCTAAACTTTGTAGAAAAGGGATGGAAACGAATGATTCAGAAGACTATAAATAGGAAAAACAGAACTGGGCCATGTCTTCATGGATGAATGGAAGAGAGATGGACTAATGAATAGATTAAGAATGGTACATTTTTTTTCAGTCTGAGGGAGACTTGAAAATGTTAAAAAACAGAGCTAATGGTGGAGTAAATAAGGCGGTAAGAAATTTGAGGAAGACTCTAGAGAGGGAGGCAAGAAGATAAATCTAAGCCTGGGGGTAGAGACTTGCTTCATGAATATTTTTTTTTTTTTTTGTAGTTTTTGGCCAGGGCTGGGCTCGAACCTGCCACCTCT